CTCGTAAGCAACATATCACCACCCTAGAAGATGCAATTGATGCCGATTTGGAAGCAAACTTACACATTGAAGAAGTCGAACTTGGAATATCCCCTCCAAACGAAGAAGGCGAAGATGATGAAGAAGAGATGGCAATGTAGTTTATTTTATAACTTTATTTCAATTATCGTAAACTTTGTTTCAATTATCGAACTTGAAGTTTTTAAGTATTTGAATTTATCGAACTTGGAAGTTTTTAAGTATTTGAATTTATCAAACTTGGAAGTATTTAAGTATTTCAATTATGTTGAGTTAATTAAGTATTTCAATTAAGTATTTGAATTTATCGAACTTGAGGTTTGATGTTTTCTCTTTGATTCTCTCTTGATTTTAGTTGCTTGATGTTTCTTGTCTTTGATCAATGACTTCTAAGCTTGCTTAAATACACCTTGAATCACTTCTGAACGTTAGTGATAATTAATGAAGATAATATAGCCGTTTAAGTGTGAAAACATTTAATAAAAATGCTTAGAGCGTGGGGGAATCGGTACCCTCTCATAGGGAATCGGTTTCCTCTCATAGGGAATCGGTTCCCTAAGTGTAAAATTCAAATATTTCGACCGTTGAATATGGGGGAATCTGTACCCCTATGGGGGAATCGGTTCCCTCCGAGCATTCTGGAAATCTCGGAGCCAAACCATTCAGTGAGGAATCGGTACCCCCTTGGGGGGGAATCGGTTCCCTATGAGCAATCTGGAATATTAAAATCGGTTTTTTTATAACCGGTTTTTTGGTTTTTTTAAAACCGAAACCGGTTACACCGGTTAGGATATCCGACCCTCCAAACCGGTTAGAAACCGAACCAGTTATTTTATAAACCGGTTTTTTTTCTATGGGAAAAAACTGGATCGGATAAAAACCGATCCGGATCGGATTGAAATCCGAATTATGTGCAACCCTACTCATGAGTAACTAAAAAAATTATATATTAAAATTTTGTTTTAAAAAAAAATCAAATTATTAATAATATTAATGTTTATTTTTTTGTGAAAATATATTACTATAAGGTTTTCATATACTTAAGATTCATGTTCAAGTTTGAGTATCTTCAACCGAGTTAATTTTAAGATTTTTCTTTATTTCGAGCTTTAATTCATGATTTTGAGTTCGACTCGAGCTTGAAAATTTTAGGCTCACAAATATTCGATATGAGGAAGCTTCATTTTAGAGTTTTCTAGGCGAGTAGAACTCAAACATACTCGGGCTCAACTCGTGTGGTTTACATTTCATCCCTAGTTTAGACCAAAAAGTGAAGGAAAAGGAAAATGGAAGAGAGTTAAAAACACATACCAGAGAGCTTTTGAGCTTGATCTTCTGTCATCTTTGCCGCGAAGCCAGAGAAACCATATTTATAGCTGTATACCATGGAATCTTTGGGTGTTTCTTCTCTGCCATAGTTGACAAAATTAAGGCTCTACTTACAAAAATCCATGAGCAACATATATAGAAGAACATCAGTTCGTTTATACAAGAATTTGTCTTAGTTCAGAACCTTCCGAGAACGGATGCGAGCATGTCGTGATGGGTTTCTGCAAGAAGCTCAACATCATGGTGCTGCCTTTTTCCCATGTAAACAATGTAGACCTGTCCAGTTTTGTATAAACTTTACCTCTCTCTGAAATTAATCAGCATGAAAATTCGAAACCTAACAAAGAAAAGTGAATGAATGATGGATCATTCATGGTTATGGATTTACTAACGTTTCGATTGGAACCTGAAACTGCTGCAAGAGCCGGCAACACATGATAATGCATGTTTACGATCTGCAGTAATGCAACTAAAACTAACGACATAATCATGGCGTTCATGAAGAAGAAAAGCCTTTCTTTTTCTTCTTCCTTCTTCTGTTGCGATGAGAGAGAAACTAAGGAGAGGTGGGTTGTCGTGCTTGGAAGTTGGAGCCAATCATCCTTTAAATAGAGGGGTAAAAGGTGGATTGAACGAATTTAGCCGTAATCGAGTGTACTATAATAGAATTCATGTTATTATTTAGGATTTAGGTTTTAATATTATAAATGTCGGGGTGTGAGCGTTTTGAATGTTGAAAGGTTGAGAGTTATTTTTAAATATATATTGTATTGCATTTATCTAAGATTATTAAATAAAAAGTGATAAATTTATAAAATTTGAAAGTGTATTAATTTTTATAAAATTTTTAAAGGATAAAAACATAATTTTAATTGAATTTATAAAAAAAATCTAAAAATTTTAATTTGTTAGGGGTGATTATTTCCGCTCCATCTCGATCCATCTTTGGTTGATCTAAAAAAACAAATGAAGCTTAGTGAGATTGACAAATTTTGAAATATTACACATGTATTAATAACACAAATTTTATGGTAAATTACGTGTTTAGCATCTAAATTATTAATTTTGATTCGTTTTAGTACCTTAACTTTAATTTTTTTCAAATCATACCTAAAATTTAGTTTTTGTTTCATTTTAGTACCCAACCATTAAAAACTTTAGTTTTTGTTTCATTTTAGTATCATAATTCAAAATTTAACATCAAGTTTTGAAAAAATTAAAAGTTTGGGTACTAAAACAATCCAAAACTGATAGTTCATGTCTTAAGGGTGCGTTTGGTTCACGGAATGTAAGATTACCAGTGGGAATAAAAGATTACCAGTGAATAGGATTACTGAGAATGTTGTATTTTGTGTTTGGTTGGTTTAGCAGGAATGTAAGATTACCGTGTTTGGTTAAAGGAATAAAAGATTATTGGAATGTATATTTGACCAAATTGTCCTTATTATATATTTGTATAATATTACAAATTGTAAAATATTTATATATTTTCTTTAAAAAATTAAATTCATAATATTTATATAATTTTTTTTACAAAATTAAAAAATATAAAAAATGTTTAATGAAAGGGTAAAAAAAAATTTAACCCCTGAACTTCATATAAAATTTTAATTATAGACTTTTTTTTGTAAATATAAAATAATTTAAGGATAAATTTGTAATTTAACATTCGTAGAATTTTTATTATTCAATGACAGAAGAAGAATATTTTTGAAAAAAAAAATTTAAGGGCATTTTAGTCCAAAACGCCGGTAATGTTACAATACCTAAGGGAAGGGAGACAATGACATTCCTAGTAATATACCCCAAAAAATCTACTATTGGTAATAAAACATTACCGGGAATGAGATTCCCGGCCAACCAAACATGCATGGGAATCCCACATTCCTTGAACCAAACACCCCCTAAACGTGTTAAGTTTTTAACGGCAGATGCTAAAATGAAATGAAAACTAAACATTAGGTATGGTTTTAAAAAATTGAAAGTTTAGGTATTAAAACGAACCAAAACTAGTGGTTAGGTACGAAATGCGTGATTTACCCAATTTTTATATACGGTAAGTAAATAAAATTTCAACATGATCACAACCAACAAAATGAATAACAAATCGTAAAAAAATTCAAATGTTAAGATGAGTTCGTGCCGATTCTTAATTATGGGTTGATTCAGCCACTTGTTCGTGGGAGATAAATAATTGCATTAACCCCTCAACTAATGGAATATCGATTATTCCCCCCTCTCTCTCTCTATAAATATATATTATGGAAATGATATACAGGTATGAGTGTATAAATGAATGCTACCACTAATGGAAGCAATTTACTGTCGTGTCTTCTTTAAGCAGGGGACATTCAGTGCACCATCCATACTGTTATTTTCAGATAGGAACAAGTCCCTGTTAAGGATAAAAGCATCCACTTTCGTCCCCATTTTACTCATCAATTCCCATAAAATTATATTTTTTTTAAAAAGAAAAATGTATGTGGGGTTTACCTTCAATTTGTCTTTGCAGCTATCATTGGCTGCTGCAATTATTTTTGGTCCCCCACCCCTCACTTCCATTCAAACCCTGAATCAATTATTACTCCAAATTGAGCGGCTCTGATGTTTTCTCATGGAGCAGCCAACTGGAACTTTTTATTTTGGTGCAGCCACGATGCATAGCATTCTGCCCCCGACAAAAGGAACCTTCTTTTAGGCCCCTGAAAGACATATTGGCGTTGTATGTTTTTGTTTCTAGTGATGATCATTTTGCAGAAGACCCAGTTACACTTTCTTCTCCTTTATTCACACGCCACTTCCATCATGCGAGCCTGTGTGGGGGAACCGGGATTTAAATCGTGGTTAACGTATATTATTGCGGTCATTGTGGATATCACAATCGTGCAACAACAGTTCAAATGCACATGGTTCCCGCCACCAAAAAACTATATCTTTATGTTAGGCAGAGAAGCAAGAAAAAGAAGCTGACGTGTTTTAATTGCTTGAAATGAGATGAGTTAATGAAGTCTGAGCTCAGTCGTGGTGGGCTGAAGCCGAGTATTGAAGATGGGCAAAGCAAAGACAAGGTGCCCAATATGCAAGACCAGCAGATGACAGACCAAACAGGAGAAGAAGCCCAACATCAAAATCTAGTAATGAAGAACGAAGAGAGAGCAGCAAAAGCAGCTACGGGTTGCATTATGGTAGGTTAAATGCTTGAGGCTATTGGGAGACTATCATCATTCAACTCGTATTGGTTTTGTTGAGTTCAAAAATGGGGAGTCTGTGCCCATAAGTTTAGTTGAAGTGTGCCTTTGAAGGACAATAAACTAAGTCTAGAACATCTACTAAGGTTAACTCGCTTCTCGAATTCGGCTCATCAAAAGAGAGTTCTGCAAACTCTAAATATTCCACATCTCGAAAAGCATCAGATGCATCTCTACCGGCATCTCAAATCTTGGTTTTCTCATTTTCATATTGATTAGAATTCCTTAATAAATGACGAAGATAATAATAGATCTAAAAACTAAAATCATATGCTAATTCAACAGTACCCCATAATCATGGGACGTCTCTAGCACATACTCAAATCGTATTCCTCGGGTACCCATCTCGGAGCATATCTGAGTATTTGGTATGACACTAAATTAAAATTATTATTTTCTTTTAAATAAAAAAATTAAAATGTAAAATCCCTTCCCTTCCCTTCTGTTTTCTGTTCTTTTTTTTTTGGCTTGTAGAGAGTAATTTGCAGTCACTGGGCTTACATTGATGAACTTTGTGCAGAGGCCGCTCCGGTAACTTCTTCAACTGTTGTACCTGCATTGCATTTGTAAACCGAGTTTTTACTATCAGACGACATTATATCTCCCTCAATAATCACCATGTAAATTAATGCAAGTAAACTCAACCGGTGGCTGTGACCGGTGTCGGAGAGGGTGGCGGTGGAAGCGTTAAGGTCACAAATGCTCGGTGCTTGGGATACTGGGGAGGAGGATACATCGGGAAGTAACTCAGGTAGACTCCAGATGTCCCAGTTGTGTAATGTGATGGAAACTGTTGCCCTCCATATACACTGTAATAGTTCTGCAAGATGACTAATTAATGATCAAACACAAACCCCACAGATTCTGGATTGCAGATTTGAATGAAACTCGAGTGAACTTTACACAGAAACATGGTTTAGATAGAATAAAAGACTAACCAGTGGGTACATGTTGTGCGAGTAACCAGGATACCTGAATGTTAAAAGGAAAAGCACTTAGAGAAGCAAATTTCTAGTAAAATCGTGCATGCTTTGCCTGAGGTTTTGAATTGGATCTAACCCGTAAGGAAATGCGTACTGCGGGATGAGTTGACGGTAAAATGCAGGAGTACCGGTCGTTGAAGGGGCCATCACCTGAGCCGGTGGAGGGCTGAATTTCTCCATCTCTGTAACATCTTTTTACCAATCCAATGATATATATGTATGTATGTATGTATAAGCAATCATCTGTTATATCAAAGTAAGGGTTGGAATTTGAAATGAATACCATGGTGTGAGTGGGAACGATTCTTGTGAGCGCCAAAAGCTGCGAGATTACAGTTTGTTCTTCTTCCATCAATCACAGGAAACGGATTATAACAAGCCCTGATCGCCGAATCAACCTCCTTATACGTTACCTACACCATGCCATAAGTTCAGAATTCGAAAACAAAAACGAACCAGAGGAGGAAAAAGATAGAGAAGGGGGCTTACAAAGCCATAGCCTTTAGATTTTCCAGTGATTTTATCATTGATAACAACAGCTTCAATGATCTCTCCGAACTGCTCAAAATAACGTTTCAAGGCATCTCTTTTAGTTTCCCAAGCCAAACCCCCGACAAAGATCTTGGTGTAAGTCGTGTCTCCACCGTGACCAAACCTAACGGCATTGGCGTCGGTCTCAAACGCCATCTTCTTCAACCCTGATTCAGACATGGAGTGAACGGGCCAAAACACACTGGAAACAAGAGAGGAGACAAAGTGAGGAAGGAGCCGTTGGTTGACAAGAAATACGTGTATGGACCGAAACCAATCACATCAAACAACTCCAAGCCTTTCAAAGAACTTACTAGATTTCCATGGACAACTCACCTTAGATTCCCCCAACAAGGATACCCTAAACAAGGAACTTATGATGATCGCAGTCTATTTGGAATCAACTGATACTCGGCTTAACGATCAAAGGGTTAAAAACAAAAAAGAAGGTTGCAAGTGGGGCAGGGAAGAAGTAGAGAGGGGAATTTCCAATGAAATACGATCAACTTTCGATCATAATTTAACATACTTGCTATATATACATATTACTTTTTAATGGGTCCAAATCTACAAGCCTTGCTGTATCCAACTCCCCATTTTTTCTTCTTTCCTCATCCGTCATGATTTGTTTATGCATATATTCCTTTTCCATATCATTAAACTATGTATTAATTGCCCCCTAATGGCCCTTAAAAGACATGCTGCTATCGTCACCTCCTACTACCAGTTCAACAATCTACAGCAACTAACCATATGCATTTCCTTTCCTTTTCTTTATGGATATATACTAGTTATTATTAGGGTAAAGTACACAAATGGTCCCTCAACTAAAGAGTACTGCTTTGTTAAAAGTTACAAAATGGTGACGTGAATATTCATTATGTTTCAAACTCTTCCCTTTCCGTTAAAGATTTGACAATTCTTTAAGTTGAACGTTAACATGACGATGACTGAGATATGATAGTCGTTTGAGATTCTGGGATTAGATTTTATCATGTCACAATTAACATGGTAACGTTCAACTCACAATAGCGTCAATTTTTTTAAAGGAAAAAGACGAATTTTGAACATAATAAATAGTTGGATGATCATTCTGTAACTTTTAATAATCGAGTGACTTAACAAAGAACACTATAATTATTGGATTGTTTTCTACTTTTAATAGTCGAGGGACCACTTATGTACTCTACCCTAATTATTATTGCATAAATAAATATTAAATTTAATCACGCCAACTTTTACGCCTAATGAGACATTCGTAAAATGGAAAAGATTAGCATGCGTTAAAATATTGTATTAATTGAACAGATTATGATTACAAATAAATAATAAATTTCATCCCCAAACTATGATCTTCATCCTAAATTGATCCCCAAATCTTTTGAACAGCCCAATTTCATCCCTAACTATAAGCATATACTAATCACATACCTTGTTAATAAAACCGTTAGGTCAAGTTATACTATTATATGTTTGAAAGAAAGAAACTTTAGGTTAAATTATGGTTGAAACCGATTACACAATCAGATGAATATAGGGATGAAATTGAAATAATCAAAAGTTTGGAGGACTAATTTAGAAAGAGGGCCATAATTTAGGGATAAAATTAGAATATTCAAAAGTGAAAGCACTAATTTAGGACGAGAGTCATAGGGATGAAATTAAAATATTCAAAAGTTTAATGATTAATTTAAAATGAGAGTTATAGTTTGAGGACATAAGACGAAATTCACTCATTTAAATATCGTCTGCTTTTCTTTTTAATAAGCTAAGGTGATTACAAAGTAGTATAAGTTCTAAATACTCTTTATCATTTGACAACGAACTCTCAATCACCCTATTGTAACCGTTAGTACTCGAATTCGTAACCTCTAAGAATTCGTTTAATATTATGGATAAGAACCATAACCGCAATAGAAATCAAGGAAAAGCTGTGAATTTCGTTTTCATTACACTTTGCCAAGTATACAAAGCAAAAGTTTACGGCCCAAGTGAGTATAAAGTAAGAAACTTCATGTGATAAAGATCATGTTTGTTCATATATAGGTTTCGATATAGGTCAAGATCGGCCGACCGCTGTTGTTTCCCATAAAGTTTGTGGCTTCTGACTATGCTGTAAATAGACATAATTTTCTAGTTCTCGAAGGATTTTATCCTTAAATTTGTCCATAAATGTCCTGTATGCTTTAAGATACGCCATCAAAGCATATACCTTTCGTTTTTTTGATTGACTCAACCTGCTCATGATTCATGTGCTTTGATGCTGGAGGTGTTTCCGCTGAGTTTCTTACCATGAGATTGGGTTTTTGATAAACAAATTAAAGGGGACGCTGATGTGGTATTTTTTTATTAATTTTTAATGCGGATATAGTATTATCTTATGTTAATATGGTAGTATCTTATAATAACATCTTAGTATTATCGTTATTCTTTTTTGAGTGACCAAAATAGAATCATAACATAATTTAGGTATGATTTTTAAAAGAAAATAGTTAACTGAGCAAGACAATAACTAAGTGGTAGATAAACAAATAGGTAATTTACCAAAAATAAAAGCATAAGAATAAAAAGTGGTTACCGAGCATGGTATCTCAGTCGAAAGGTACTTAAATGATCGCTTGAGTCTGTTTGATATTATACCTTAATTAACTTTTAAATGAAAATTTTCATCAATCCACCGTTGCAAATCTTTTTGAGTGTATGTGGGGTAGAGCTAGGTATATGGGCTAAGGTCCGCGGGCTACCCATTTAACCCGTGACCCGTGCGGGTTTCGGGCCTCAAAAATTGAAGATCGTTTAAATTGTGGGCTTTTTAGCCAGGACCGTTAAACCCGCGGGTTTAATGGGTATAACCGCGGGCTACCCGCAAAACCGGCTAAAGCCCGCTTAATTTAAAATTTATAAAATTTTAGAGAAAATAAACTTAAAGAATTTTATAGAAAAAAAATAAATTACCTATAAATATGATGTTACTTATAACTATTGTAGTTCTTAAATTTATTAGGGCGTTTTTCATAATTCTACAGTTGCTTGATATTTTTTTTCATTTAAATATACATCATTAATGTATCAAATTATTCTTAATTTAAAAAAAATTAAAAAATTTATATAGTATTTTAGTCTTATTATAACCTTGAATAATCGTATTTTATAAAAGTATAATGTGGTTATTGTTTTATTTGTTTTTCAATTTAGTGATATAAGTGTATTATTTTTTTAATTTGAGTTTAAGTAATTATATCATTATATATATATAGAGATATATATATATTAATGATTAAAAAAATTAAATAATATTATTTTATAATCATTTCCGGCTATTTAAAATAAAATTTAAATATTATTTATTATTTTGACGGTGCTACCTTCCTTTTCAAGTTGCTCGATCATTTTTAAAGGTGTAGTAAGTTAAAACATTTTTTTTATTACATTTAAAGTATTTAAAATTATTTTTATTAAACGGGCCGCGGGTAAGCCTATTTAGCCCGCGGGTTAAATTGACGGGTCGCGGGCCTTAAAATTCAAAACCGTTTATGAATGCAGGCTTTTTAAACCGCTCCGTTTAAGCCCGCACTGTTAAAACTCGCACCCTTAAAACCCGCGGGTTAAACGTGCGGGTAGCCCGTATACCAACCTCTAATGTGGGGGTGATCTCTCTTATACTCACATAATATTTTACGTATTTGATTAGACGTCGTTGATTTTTTAACATATTTACATGTGAAGCTATGATTGGTTGATTTCAATTTGGATTAACTGAATGTTTGATGTTGCTTTATAAAGTGATTGATTTTCTTGTCATGCATGAATTTGCATCAAATTTTAATTAGTACTACGTATTGCAATTAATTTTATTTTTTAAAAGTATGTATTATATTTAATTAGTCACATTGTACTAAATATTATTCAATTAGTCAATACAATATATATGTATAGACTATCGTTTATGCATATTGTATTGTCTAATTGAATACTACTTTTTAAATTATGAAAATTACGTAATTATGAGATTATTAATTTACAAAGATTTTATTATATTTAATAAGAGAAAGTTGACGAAAATAATTCTCATTTGTCAACTTTTTTTTGAAGTATACTTTTTTCATGATAGAATTAGCCCTCAATTGTGTTTCATTGACATCACCAAAACCTAAGGATGATGTAATAATAAAAAGTAGAAATTTGTTTTAATTAGAACGGGATAAATTGTAGGTTCAGTAGAATATGTCCGTGTATAAAGCGTAAATTGGGTTAAGAGAGTCGATCTTACCTCTGTAGTACTTAATTTGAATTAGTCGATCAATAGATCAGATACTGATGATTATAAAAAATATGTAGGTGCATAAAATAACAGCAAATATTATATGATCTTGCCTTTTTCTCAAAAAGAGAATTTTCTGAGAGTAATTAGATTATGTAGACCGGGTAATCCAATACACCTTTGGAGTCCAACTGTCGGTCTTTATTTGTTGGCTATCCATGTCCTAATCAATCCCATTGTGCCATTTGTAGGGTCATCAAGCTGATAGATGTAAAGGGAATGACTAAAGTGTTATTTTATTCTATCTAAATATTTATACGATTACTAATTGTCGTAACCGGATTTCGTCCGGGCACGAAATAATATACTTGGCGGGAAATTGATGTAAATAAATGGTTTTTAAAATAATTTGGGAGTCGCCATCGGCCTTTTGGGTTAGGTAGGTCGAATACCTAAAAATTATCTTTTAACAGAGTTTTTAAGAAAACATCAGTTAAAAGATGAACTGATCTGCGTTTATAACCAAAAATTCGTTATTTTTAATAATAAAAAGAGATTCGTGGTCGGTTACGTTTAGGGAAGGATTAGCACCCCTACAACGCCCAAAAATTGGTACTTTTTAATTATAAATTGTCTCTATTATTAGAAATTTAAAAATTCAAAATATATTTAATTTATTATCCTATTATTTCAAAATTATAATTATGAGAAAAAAATAATTTATATATATTTATAAATAAAATGTTTATTTATTTAGAAATATCAGAAAAGGACTTCTAGGTGTCTTAAGACAGATCTTTTCTTCGATATTAATAACTATTAATATAATAATTTAAATAAAATAAAATTATAATTTTATATAATATTTAAAATACCAGAATATGACATCCAGTTGTATTAAGACTGCCCTTTTCCTCGATATTGAAAAATAAATATTAAAATAATTTATGGAAAAAAAATAATAAAAAAAATATTTAAATATATAAACAAGTAAAATTAAAATAGTAAAAATACAATTAGAACTATATATCTAAAAGCAGTAAAATAAATGAAAATATTTAAAATTAGTGACTAAATTATAATAAAATTAAAATTAAAAACCTAATTCAATATTAATTATTTAAAATTTCAGGGATTAAACATGCTATTTTCCTTATTTATTAATTTAGTGACTAAAATAAAACTATATAAAAT